TTTACTTTACGTAATAAGTACAACTTTAGTTCTTCGTTCTTACTTATTTTTTAGTTTACGTTACTTCTCGTCACTTTACTTTCGTTCTATCTACTTGTTTTACTTTCTTCTCTCTCTCTCTCTCTCTCTCTCTCTCTCTCTCTGTGGCACTCTGGTTCTTTTCTTTGCATAAAGTAAAAATATGAACTATTCTGAGTGGCAATTTAAAATAGGAAAAAGTTTTTAGAAGGGTGATGCCCTAATCGATCAAATCAATGCGCGCATGAAAAATTCATTAGAAGAGGTTGTTTTGATGCCCAAAAATCTTCATATCGATCATTTCAACCTCAAGGTGTATGAACATGATAAAGAAAGGCTTTCAAGTCTTGAAAATAGTGCGTCTTGTAATGGATTTCAAGTCTTGAAAATAGTCCATCTTGTAATGGATTTCAAGTTCTTAATTGTTTAAAATATAAAGTCTAAACCCTACCTCCATGCATTCCTCTATAATATTTGGAAGTTTGGTATTGCTGCTGTTCGTCATTTCTCCTATGCATCCAGGAATAAACTTTCTCTGTTCCCAAACAACCCCTTAGCGGCAGTATATGTGCTGGGATAGTCGTGAGAGACCCACAATCTTCATGTTGTGCTTGTATGTAGGAGCTGTTTGCATGCGACGATAAGCCACTGCACCAGGTGAGCTTGTAAGCGATATAATCTAAACGCCTTTCTGAAGTAATGGCAGGATAACAAAACGTGGCTATTTAACATGGGAAAAGTTTATATAGAGCCGAGGCTCTAAATAATCAAATTGGAGGCTACATCAAAAGTTTCACTAGAAGATGTTGTGTTGATGGCTAAATATCTTCAAATTAATCATCTCGACTTCAAGATGCATGGACATGAATAAAAAAATGGATTTCGAGTTTTGAAAATAGTCTATTTTTTAACGGATGTTTGAACCGTCAATTTTCAAGATTTTCAAATTTTCATAGATCTATCGATCTACATTATTTTTTAAGCTTTAAACTTTACAAATCAAGATGAAAATATATTTTAAGGTTATCACAAATGTTTCCAATATTAAAACCACATTTCTCGATACTATTTGAAGGTAGGCTCTAATTTGATTGTTTAGAGCACAGGCTCTATACAAAATGTACCCATTTAACATTGGGTGTGGTTTCGATGAGGTTGCGACCTTAAACAATCATATTAAGGGGCACCTTTGAATTTTATCATAACATGTCATTTTGGTATAAATTTTTTTTAGGATTATTGCAAAATCCATTTTTATATCTAATTATAAAATTTTAAACTCTAAAAATAGTTAAAATCAAGTAAGTCTATAAACATATGAAAATCTTGAAAATGAAAGGTCTAGATAATGTGTTGCAAGATGCATTATTTTTGGGATTCAAAATCTTATTTATTTATTTATATTCATACATTTCAATGTCGAGATGATCAATTAGAGGGTTTTTCAATATTAAAATAACCTTTTGGGATGGATTTTTAAGATGCATCTTTAATTCTACATTTTAAGTTTGCAACTTTATATAAACTTTTTCTTTAACATTATATATATATATATATATATATATATATGAGAAATAACATTAAGAGATCCTTTCACACCCAAGTGAGTAGGACTCTAAAGGATCACTAAATTTTGACATAGATCTCTAAAAAAGTTATAACATAGGTGTGGGATTTGAGTGAAATTAGGTGTATTTCAATATGTTTTTCAGAATATTATTTAGTTGTATCTTGATCATTCAAGTACCATACCAATTATTAACTTTTGATGAACGTAGCTAAACAAACTGCTTTTGTGTGTGCGTTGCACAACACGCAGGATAGAACTTGAATAATTTGAAGCAGGTAGAAATGAGTATATGGAAGGAAGAGAACATAGGAAATGAAATAGGGAAACATGGGGAAACGAGTCTGGATGTTATATACGATACATAGCGGTCGTTTGGATCCGAGCGTATCCAAAACAATCATAACATGGTTATGCAAACCCTGGTTATTAACTGAGACACAAACGTAGTGGAACTTGTCTCTAATACAAGGGCCACGCCCACGAGGGTCCGTCCATTATCTGAGAGACAAAGGGCGGCTTTGAGCAGGTTATTAGAACTTGTCTCTAGTACAAGTGCCATGCCACGCCCCGCCCCGTCCCGTCCCGCCCACGAGGGTCATTTAAAACTGAGGGACAAACTTCGTGGCTTTGAGCAGTGTTATTGGAACTTGAGTGGACCGGCCAGGCAAACTTGTTGAGCTTCGGCATTTGATTTTCAGAAAAAAGTGTTTTGTGAGTTGAGCCAATTTACCTATAGATGAACGGTCCTCTTGGATCTAAATTTTTAAGATTTTGTCAATTTTTATTTTTTAAAAAATAAATATTATGTTATTGAAATAGATTTTTCACTGAGGTACAGTGAAAGCACCATTTTTTATGTCTATCTCTAAGACGGATATCTGATTCACGAGGAGACTTTGGTGAATAAAATGACTCATGAAGACCGAGTTCAAAGATGAAATATGGGAAAAGTTTGTCTACTTTCTTTTTTTTTTCTCTATATTTTAGGGTTTTGATTGGGTTACTACCACACTTATTGGAACTGGCCCGAAAACAATGGAGTTGAGAGAAAGAGAGAGAGAGAGAGGGAGGGAGAGAACAATGGCGAGAGCCAAGCGAACACATTATCTGAGTTTCGGTGAATCTGATAAAAACGAGGCCTTAAGCTTTTTCTCCTTGTCCTTTTCTGAAACATAACATTCCATCTCAAGTTCAATTATTGACAGCCCATAGACATGATTGCATGTCACTCCATACGTGCATCTACCGTCCTTCCCATGATCCACGGTGGAGATGTACGGTGGAAATAACGATACCATTGCCAATGGAGGGCTAACGCCTAACACGTGTATTACATATACACACAGGCATTGTATATTAACACATGTCATGTCATACAGCTGTAAGTCCATTCTGATCCCCACCAAAATGGTAATTTTGTGCAAAAATTTCAACCATACAAAGAGGAATAAAGATCGATAGTCAACGGCCATCCACCTTTCTTTCTCACCAAAGGACGGTGGATGCGAGCCCTCGTTTCGTTGTAAAGATAGCCCGCTGCGGCTGGACTGAAATTTACAGCAAACATGATAAGGCCATGGTCTTAGCAGGCTGCAATTATTAATATACAAACAAGGGATCTCTCTCTCTCTCTCTTTCGGATCTGGGGATTTCTCTCTCCAGAGGATATTTATGTTTGTTTATGGAGAGGTAAGCCTTCTGCAATGGTATTAGAAGTGCAATTTACTGTAACCATCTCCTATCTCTTCTCCATGGAATCATGCTTTTATTTTTGTTAATCGTTTTTATATCGTTGGAGTTGCATTATGATTTATGTTCTTTGGAATTGGAATTTGGTTGCAGGTAACGATTGGAATTGTGTTGCTTGTTTATAAAATCTCTCTGTCATGCCTAGCCTACCCTAAGTATTACGAATTTCCCTTTCTCAATGGACAGGCTTCATTGACAATCATGTAAGATGGGTCGCTTTGAACAAGAGTTTTTGACTTTTCATATCAAATTTAACATATTTACAATTGTACATAATTTCTTATTTTGATGCACATAAATGTCCAAAGATGGTGGGTATGGATTTAGAGGAATGCTTATCCGCGTCTTGGTTTGGACCGGATCGATTGGCATGTTTATTTGATGTCGGTGTTTAACAAACTGGGAGTGGATTCTGACGTGCCAGGGCCTGAGCCTCAGATGTCGACTCAGTCGAGTTGGAGTGTGCAATTTATCCTTCTCAATTACAAATATATAAAATCTATGTATTTTTTAGGATTCTGGTCAGACTGGACCGGGCAATCTGCTGGGTTCAGGTGACTCGGGCGACTCCGAGCACGAGCCGGAAAATGTCTAATAACTGTTTGATATATTTTGGGTTTGAAAGGGTCATTTCCTCTTCATCTTCCCTCAGCTCGGTTGTGTTTTCTTAGTGAGTTACTTCCACCTTAGTCATGTTTTCCTAGTAAAAAGAACTTGGTTTCACTTTCTTAGGTGAAAAATGGTAATTAGTTAATTCTTGAAGAAAATGGGCCTCACCAACACAGTTCTTTCTTAATTTTACTACAAGCGTTGGAAAATGCACCCCCAACTTCAACCTTTTCTAGGACAGGATAAGATAAGCTATGGAATTCTAATAACCAGTGGTGGAGCGATCAAGTACGTGTGAATCATGAATGTGCTTTAACCAAGAACCCAACTTACAGAAGTCTTTGCCTTATGATCATCCCACGCTACTGATACTTGCTCTTACAGTCTCGGGTTAACAAAGGAACAATGATGGGGAAGGGTACGATTATCTTCTCCACGGTGGGAAGGGCATCGTACGGTTTTGACATATTTGCCGTCACTGTTCACAATCTTCTCAACGGTGCCGCCGCCAACTGGACAGAACGGCGCCTAACGGACGGTAAGTCCGTCAACTTCAATGGCCAATTCACTGATGATGAGGACGGCACTGTTGTGTTCATCTCCGAGAGAAATGGTGCTTCCAAAATATACCTCCAACTGCCGAAATGTGAGACACCCAAGCAACTTCTAGGGGCCTCTGGCAGCTTATTTCATGACAGGCCGACGTTCAGAAATGGACGTGTCTTCTTTGTCTCCGCACATGAACCAGCTGAAAAACTGCTGAATAGCTGGGCGGCAATATACTCGACTTGTATGGAGAGTCAGGAAACCACAAGACTCAACCCACATGGGACTGTAGATTATAGTCCAAGTATTTCACAGTCAGGGAAATGGATTGCTGTGGCTTCTTATGGATCTAAGGAATGGGAAGGCGACTTTCAAGAATTGTCCACTGATATAGTGGTTTTCCGGTCAGATGATGGTTCGGATCGTCGGGTTTTGGCTCAGGGTGGTGGGTGGCCGGCCTGGTCTGGAGATTCCACTATTTTTTATCACATGAAAGCTGATGATGGGTGGTGGAGTATTTTTCGGGTTGAATTTTTGGAAAATGAGGAGCTATTGATGGAAGCTCGCCGGATAACACCGCCGGGAGTCCATGCCTTCACTCCTGCGGCTTCTCATGATGGGAAATGGATAGCAGTTGCAACTCGACGGCCAGAAAGCAAATTCCGGCACATTGAGATTTTTGACTTGGACTCAGAGTCCTTCATCAAAGTTACAGAGATGCTAAACCCTGCCATCCACCACTACAATCCGTTCATTTCTCCTGCATCGGGATTCTTAGGTTACCACAGGTTTAGGGGAAGGCATTCTACTGGAGATTCTAAGATTCCTTATCTTGAGCCCATGGTTTCCCCTATTCCCAACCTGAAACTGCACCGGCTCAATGGAAGTTTCCCGACATTTTCACCGGATAGGACTTTGATTGCTTTCAACACCAGTTTGACACCCGATTCTGGAATTTCAGTAGTGAAATCCAATGCAACAAAGAAATTTAGCATTCTAAAAGGAAGGATCACATTTGCCCCAGCCTGGAACCCTGTGGAGAAAGGCGTTATTTTTGTTTCGGCAGGTCCCATCTTTGAAACAGTGGAAACAACGGTCCAAATTGCTCGGATCTCTTTCGACCCAACCCATCTAGACTCCAAGGACGAAATCAGCACCCATGTGAAGATCCTCACAAAGGAAGGGACTGGAAACAATGCGTTCCCCTCATGCTCACCTGATGGTAAGTTTCTGGTTTTCCGATCAGGGCGCTCAGGTTACAAGAATTTGTACATAATTGATGCCATCGATGGAGAAGACGGAAGCATTCGTCGGTTAACAGAAGGCCCATGGATCGACACAATGCCGCACTGGTCACCCGACGGAAAATACATCGCATTCTCGTCAAACAGAGAGTCACCGAAAAGTACACAGGGCTTCAGTGTATATCTGACAAACCCTGATGGGACCGACCTCCACCATGTCCACGTGACAGCGGCTTCTGCGTTCAATGAAATGGCAAAAGAGAGAATCAACCACGTGTGCTTCAGCCCCGACTCAAAGTTTCTGCTCTTTACTGCTAATTTGGGAGCTGTGAATGCAGAGGCAATCTCATTGCCTAATCAGTTTCAACCATATGGAGATCTCTACATTTGTGGGTTGGATGGGAGTGGGCTGAGGAGGTTGACGTGCAACGCCTATGAGGACGGGACGCCAGCATGGAACTCGGGGTGGTGGGGTCCAGAGCCAGGGTCCTCCTTGGAAGATGTTGTGGGGGAGGAGTTGAAGGGAGAGTTTGAGGAGCCTCTTTGGCTGGGTTCAACCTTCAAGATCTTCTAAGACTGAAATATGTTCCTCTGCTTTCAAATCTTCCCTTCTCTAGGTGAATATTATCTCCTTTTTTGATTTGTATGCGTTATTCTGTGAATCTCTAATTTTTTTCTTTTTTCTTCTTGTTTCAAAGATGGTATGGTAAGGTAGCTAATGATGTGGGACGTTGTTGCAAATAGGTAGTGGAACACAAGGGAAGATCTAAATTGGCAGTATTGTTAAGAGGAACGAGAAGATATACTTGCGTCAATGGCATCGGGCATAGAGTTTTATGTTTAAGAGAGAGGAAGCACAATAAACTTTGGAAGGAAGATTAAAGTTTGCTCAAATAGGGAGTCGCAATGGTCCTTTAGGCCATCAGGCTGGTATTAGTAAATGTATTACGGAAGGGTAATGATTTAGATGCAGTGTTGTCGAATTTGAAATTCGCTTTGAACAAGAGTTTTTGACAGGTTTGCAACTGCTTTATCAATGGGTATGTTGAAATTATATCAAAATGTTTGCAACTGCTTTATCACTTAATCATTTATGTTTTAATGAGTATGTTGAAATTATATCAAACCATGTGGGTAAAATGTTAAATAGTTGATATCTCAATGAGTATTTTGATTTTGTACATCTTAGGATAACATCAGTCTAGAAAATTTGGGAGTAAACAAATCCCCTTAGGACCTCGATATAACATCATTTTTCCGTTTAATAAATAAACTGCCTGTATTTTTATTAACTTTCATTTCCAAATAACTTAATTAGCAAATAAATAGCAAGCTTTTTTGAACAATAACGTCATTTTTTTTGTTAAAAATGATCACTTTTTATTCAAGATACTTGTACAACTAGTATAATGTACAGCTAGAAAAAGAAAAACAAAGAAAATAAAGAAAGAGAAGTAAGAACAGGCGCCAAGGACAACATGAATAGAGGAAAAGAAATAAGCAACAGAAGAAAGGCAAGAAAGAGCAAATCTAAAATAAAAAAGAATTTGAAACATGCTAAACTTATATATATATATATATATATATGATGTAATTGGCATACCTGATATAATTATACTGATAGAATAAGGCAGATATTGAAATTAATGGATGCAATTTCTATAAAGCTTAAACCTTAAGACAAAAAGTAAGGCCTCAGTTTAAAAACTCGTCTATCCAATTCGACCGAGGAAACCCCTATGATGATGCAAAAATCTATTTCCACATGTTATTATGAATTTGAAACTCCAAAAATAATGCAAATCTTGCAGATATATGGACACTAGAAAATAGATGGTTTAGATTGGACATAACAAGATATAGTATTTTTAAGACTTGAAATTGTTGTTTTGTTTCACATCCATAATAGTCAATGTCGAGATGATTAATTAGAAGATCTTCCAACACTAAAGCTGCAAGTCATGGCCTAGGCGTTATTTTAACCTTTTCTAAAATTGGTTGACATGAGAATTAAATCCTTTTTCTTATTATTCTACCCATGTTTTTGATAGAATTTTGGGAAAATTACAACCCCCCCCCCCCCCCCCCCCATACGCTATTCACTCAACTTACCCCCACCCAAACTTTTTTCCTCACACTTTTTTTCCCTCAACAAGCTTTCCTCACAAACCCCCCCCCCCCAAAATAAAAAGTTGTAATTTTTTGGACAGAAATGGCCTAACCGTACGATAAAAACTCAATTGGCAGTCCCAAGTTGCCTATTGCCGGAGCGAAAAACAACATCGCCGGACCGCTTTGAAATGACTGCCGCATCGCAATAGCCACTACCAGAGCGAGATCAAACAATGCCGGAGCACTTTGCCACACCACTAGAGCGATGTGCTCCAAAAGAGTATTGCTGAAGCGCATGTAGATATCGCCAGAGTGAAGAATGTATCGCCAGAGCGACGTACTAAACCGCTGGATCGAAGTGGCTTACTACCGGAGGGGCTGATTTGATTGCCGAAGCACGTGAGAAAAGCTTTGGGTGTGTAGAGAAGGGGCATGAAGACAAAAGGGTATTTTGGATTTTTTTTTACGGTTTTTTTGGGTTGGGGGGGAGGGGGGGGGTTTGCTAAGATAATTTGTTGAAGGGAAAAATATAAGAGAGAAAAGTAAGAAGGGGATAAGTTGAGTGAATAGTATATTTTAGGGGGTTTTTGTAATTTTCCCTAAATTTTCAAATAGACCAAGGCCACACCTCGGTTAGGAAGGTTTGATCCTAACAGTTTCAGCGCTATTAGGGCATGAGCTGGGTCTGAGTCAAGGTCATTTTGATCACAAACCAGGCCGGATTAGCCTTGCCCAAGCCAAGGCAGGGCCCACTTACCCATTAAACAACCACCAACTTCAATGTGTACCCACAAACGGATACGCTTGCACTCAGTTATACTAAACTACGTCCAATAGGGGTGCCAATGATCCCGGGACCTGACGGGTCAGGGTCGGGTCAAATCGGACCCCAACCCAATCCGATATGTTGGGGTGGCAATGAACTTGGACCCGAGGGGTAGACCCGAGATGGATCCGGGACGGCACGAGCAGGACCTAATCCGACCCGACCCCTTGCCACCCCTAACATGCCGTACCCGGACCCAACACGTTGCCACCCCTAGAGTCCAAGTTTTTGGCTCTCTGCCAGCTTCTCTCCATTTTGCATTGAAGATTCGAAGAAAGCCACCTTACCATTTTATTCAAACTCCATCGTCATGGCTCTTCGAAGCACTCAAACATAAAATTCAGATTCAAAGCTGACATGTCCTCTTTCTCCAATCCATAGACCACATGCATGCTTATGACCAACCTTTTTGTCCCTTTCGTTTTTGGTTGAGCAGCCTTTATCTCTTGCTTCCCACGCCATCTCTCTCTCCACCCTAACTCAAACCATCACTCTTTATAAATACTCACATCATCAACGAATTGCAACGTAGAACAAGCCTATCAACTATAAGCTAAGATGGTAATCAAGAGTACAATAGTCTTTTCCACTGTTGGGAGGCCATCATACGGCTTCGACATATTCTCTGTCACCGTTCCGAAGAATCTTGATGACATGAGAGATTGGACGGAACGGCGTCTAACAGACGGCAAATCCGTTAACTATAACGGCCACTTCACTGAAGAAGATGGCACTGTAGTGTTTGTGTCAGAGAGAAGTGGCTGTTCAAAACTGTATATCCAATTACCTAACACCAACAAACCATTAGAGCTCCCATCAGTCCCTGATAGCTTATTTCACGACCACCCGACCATAAATAATGGTCGCCTTTTCTTTGTTTCCGCAAATGAACCTGCTGACAAACCGCTCAAGAGCTGGGCAGCTATGTACTCGACCTGCCTAGACAGTCAGAAAACCACAAGGCTGACACCAGTTGGAACGGTCGATTATAGCCCAGCAGTTTCCGAGTCTGGAAAATGGATTGCTGTGGCATCTTATGGATCTAAGCAATGGGAAGGTGACTTTCAAGAGCTTTCCACTGATATAGTGGTTTTCTCATCAAATGATGGTTCTGGACGCCGGGTTTTGGCTCGTGGTGGTGGATGGCCAGCTTGGTCTGGAGACTCTAGCGTGTTTTTTCATAGGAAGGCTGATGATGGGTGGTGGAGCATTTTCCGGGTTGATATACCAGAAAATGAGGAGGCTTCATTGCTGGAATGTCACCGGATAACACCACCAGGGGTCCATGCCTTCACTCCAGCAGCTTCTCACAGCGGGAAATGGATAGCAGTTGCGACCCGAAGGCCGGGAAGTCAATTTCGGCACATTGAGATCTTTGCCTTAGAATTGAAATCCTTCATCAAAGTTACAGAGACTCTAAACCCCACCTTGCACCACTATAATCCATTTGTTTCTCCAGCTTCTGGGTTCTTATGTTATCACAGGTTTAGGGGAGAAGCATCGATCGGAGACTCTAAGATTCCTTATCTCGAGAATGTTATTTCCCCTTTACCAGACCTAAAAATGCTCCGGATAAATGGGAATTTCCCAACATTTTCGCCAGATGGTGACTTGATTGCCTACAACCCAGATTTTTTTAGCCCACAATCCGGTGTTTCAATAGTGAATTCCACAGGAACTAAACGATGGACCATTCTCAAAGGACGTGTATCATTCTCCCTTGCATGGAGCCCGACTGAGAAAGGCATCATTTACGCATCAGTGGGGCCAATATTCGAAACTGCAAAAATGACGGTCCAGATTGCCCGTATCTCTTTTGATCTGACCAATCTGGATTCTCAAGAAGACATCACGGCCAAGATAAAGATCCTCACAAAGGAAGAGACTGGAAACAATGCATTTCCATCATGTTCACCAGACGGTAAGTTTCTAGTCTTTCGTTCTGGTCGTTCAGGCCACAAAAATTTGTACATAATGGATGCTACTAATGGAGAAGATGGAGGCATACGTCAGTTAACTGAGGGACCATGGATCGATACAATGCCAAGCTGGTCTCCTGATGGCAAATTCATCGCTTTCTCATCAAATCGACACTCGCCAGAAAACACTGAAGTATTTGGTATATATGTGATACATCCCGATGGCACTGGACTCCGTCGTGTCCATGTAGCAGAAGATATGGACATGGTGAGAACAAACCACGTGTGCTTTAGCCCTGATTCTAAGTGGCTCCTATTCACTGCAAACTTCGGTGCTGTATCGGCTGAGCCTATTTCGTTGCCAAATCAGTTTCAACCATATGGGGACCTCTATGTATGTGGGTTGGAAGGGACCCATCTCAAGAGGCTGACTTGTAATGCCTATGAGAACGGGACACCAGCTTGGCACTCGGGTGATGGTGGGCCCGACATAGGATCACTCTGCTTGAATGATGTTGGTGAGGATTTGAAGGGGGACTTTGGGGAGCCTCACTGGTTGGTGGCCTAATATTTCGAAGGTTCTTTTCCCCTTTGATCCCTTAGAACTTATGATCCCAGATGCATATGGGGAAGGAAAATTGGAAATGCCCAGAGGTGAGACTTATAATAAGTACTCATGTTATTGAGTTTCTTTTTTTTTCTTTTAATTTTTCCCTAGCTTCTATTATGGTTTGACCTTGACAAGAGAACTGTCTTTTCCATTAAGGTTTGACAAAAGAACTGCCTTTTCCCCCTTTTTTTTTTTTTGCCATTTTCTCTTTGTGGCTATGTGGATGTGTTTGATAAAAAGAAGTTTGTGGAAGGTAGATATGAGACAAGAATAATTGTATGATGTTACTCAATAAACTGTAATCTCCTGAGTTTGAGAAGTTCAAACTACTGCTAGAGAAAGATTCAAGCTAACTCCTCTAAATTTCAAGAAATTTGGAAACAAGGTGACTACACAATCATTCCAGTGGGTTGCCTCAACACCTGACCAACGCCCAAAAATTATTGAAAGGAAATAATACAAAATCTAACAGTTTAAAATGACAACAGGAAAATAGTACTTGTATTGGAACATTCACAAAAAGGGCCAATAAGGTAGTGAAACTCCCTGTCATATGGCTATCTGTATATACCCACGTAGATATGCGACTGTGCCTGAGTTTGCAGATCCATGTACGATTGAATGTACGCAAGCTGTATTCCCACCCTTTCTTGTATCAAAGACGTTTGTAACGCTTGAAATGCTTCAAATTTAGTAAATTCCTTTGAACATCCCATTGGTAGTACTTGGTTAATGAACTTTGGAAAAGAAAGTCTAGTCCGTGCCTTCGAGATGCCAACTTTGTAAATCACCAGAAGAGCCAAGTCGATGCCCACTCTTCTAATAACCTCAAGATACACAAAGTTGAGGCCAATGACTGATGCAGTGCTCGACTACTCAGACTAGTCCACTCAGACTCGCCTGAGTATCCCTGAGTTGAATGTTCAATTGGAAGATCTTAAAAAAAAAAAAAAAATCAAAAAAAGAATTTAAAAAAAAAATCTATTTGTAATATGTTTTTTTATGTGTTATGTCATATTCACAAAGATTGGAAAGTATTTTGACCATGTATACTTATGTTTACATTTTTCTTTTTTTGGATCATTTTGGAAATACCCCCAATCACAAATTGAATTTTTTTTTAAAAAAAATACAATTTTTTTACCTCATTTAGGTGTTTTATGTTTAATTTTAATTTAAATATATATTTCCTATTTTTATTTATTTTTTCATTTTTTAACATTTTTTTAGTTTGAAGAGTACTCGGGTCGAGTACTCAGCCCAAGTCGTTCAATCGAACACTGGTCTAATGTACCCTCAAGCACCCTGTGCCAAAATGAGAAACACTTTTATAATGTGTTAGAGAGTTGCCTGAATCAGATGAGGATCAAGGCACAATATCCAGGTTAGACACAATAGATCAGGCAGAGGGCTCATGACGGCTTTTGCAAAAAGTATCAGATTATCCAGAAAGTATTCTATTTAGACAAATTATTGGCTTGTGTCCTCTTCAACCAGAACCACCAAGAAAAAGTCATTGATATAGAGATCATACTTGTGCCTTTCCCCATCACTCCCATTTCTTGACTTTCTGACTCTGCAATACTGTACTTCCATTACTGACCGGCTTTTAAGGTTCAGGAGTTCGTTTGCTTTTTTGGGATGGCTTCTATTTTCTTGGAACAGGCCAGTAGGGCACCTTATAACAGAAATCCACCTCCTCTTAACCAACACTTTTGTACATATCACCCTTTTATCTTTAACCTAACAATTATACCGTTGAAGGAAAACGGGTGGTATTTGTAGCCATGCTTTAACTTTCTACTAAAAGCAGACAAGTACATGGGTGGAATTCTACACATTGTGTGTTTGTGTATGTATCCGTCCACATTCTGCATAAGAAAGCAAAAGCATGTGCGTCAACAGCACAAAACATGGGTGCCATTAGCAATCCTCAAAAAAGCACCAAAATAGGGCAGCAGCCATTGCCCCGTGAAAATGGTTTCTCAGCTCTGATCAGATCATACAAACTAACCTGTGTCTCCATAACCCACACCAAGCAACGAGTGGCATATTCATTACTCCCTTTGCTACACCCATTTACAATATTACCACCCACAATAAATTTTTGGGCCTGGACAACAATCAACAGGCTAACAAACACTAAACTGTCAAGATCTACAGTTGCAGAAACCAGATTGCAATAGGTCTAAGTCATCTGCTAATGATAGTTCATGGTATCAATTTCCCAATTCCCTTTGTGCTTCACTCAAGTTTTCATTGAGCCTATAAAACCTGAAGCCGGCGCTGAATCTAAGATGTACAGATATGCATAATGTTTACCAGTATTTGTGAGACCAATGCCTAGCTTAAGGGTAGGCGCACCATATTGGGGTTGTGACATTATTTTCAAGCCATTCTTATTAATTTGCAGGTTTAACAGCACAAGAGTTAATGCCACTTGATGTTTACAGCAGTCTATAAATTAATGCTAATTAACTAAGGGAAAAGATGAGATTAGCCCACTAGCTCATATGAACATATGAGCCCAACGTCCCAGATTGATTTTGGACCGATCTGATGATTACGGATGTCCGGTAGTGTTTGAATTTTAACTTTTTTTCTACAAATCCAAATCACTTGAAATTTTAGGCGTACGCTTATTAAAAATAGGTGAATCTTTGAAAAATATCAAAGAAATATTTTACATGAAATAAATTGACCAAAATACCTCCGAAAAGTTTCAAGGGGTATTTTTATCATTTTGTTTTTTTCAAATATTTTTATTTTTATTTTTATTAAGTGTGTCTTGATGAGAAGAACACATACCTAAAATTTTAAGTGATTTGGATCTGTAAAAAAAATAATAAAATTTAAACACTACCAGACATCCGCGATCGTCAAATCAGCCCAGATTCAATCTGGGCCATTGGGCTCATATGTTCATATGAGCTAGTACACTAATCCCATCTTTTCCCATTAACTAAATGTGTAAATTATGTATATGTTTTCTACTTCAGACCTACTACCAAGGTTGTCTCAACCATAATCAGAACTGTTTTTGAGTAAGATAAAATCACTGAAATCGACTTGACTTGCTCAATGGGAGAGTTTTATAACTGAAAAACTTGCAATGTATCCGAGTAATTCATAATGTAATAATGTAATCTATAGTAATATATTTAGTTTTGGACTCTACATTCTCTCTCCTAAAGTCAAAATTACCCTTTATTGGCTCATTATACATATATATATATATATATAT